CCCCGCTCCCACCCTGCGGCCGCTCAGCTGCCCAGGGGGATGTGGTCCAGGGTGCAGCAGGAGCCGGGGCCATCGCCACCGCACGACTGGTTGTAATTCCTGCGGGGGGCAAAGAGACGGGCTGGGAGAGCAGCACTCCTGTCCGGGACACTCCTGTCCTCTGTCCAGAGACTCTGCGAGGGCAGCAGAGCTGCTCCCCAGTGAACGCAGCCTGATCCTGGGAATGTGCCCACATCCTGGGGCCAAGTGCATCCAGGCAGTGAGCTGAGGCCCCGCAGGATCCCCCGGGAGCATCTTGCAGCTTGTTCCCTGCCTGCTGGTTCTGCTGCCCACCCTGAGTCCCTGCCTGTGAGGGAGAGGGTACACCAGGGTTGAGGACTGCAGGCACCCACTGGATGTGTGGGCTGGGGTGCTGGGCTCAGGAGTCCTTTGCAGCCCCACGCCCCAGGCAGGAGCAGCCACCTGCCAGCCCTGACACACACTTCCTGGGGTGGGAGAGCGCGGGTGGAACTGGGCACATAGCCATTGACAGCTCCGGGCTTGCACAGGACTGACAGGAATCAGGTGGGAATGCCAAACTGAGTGGGAAACAGCCCCCACAGCCACAAACACCCCAGGGCAGTGCCACCCCACCTGGAGGGGAAGGCAGGCACACAACAGGAGTTAGCCCACAGGCTGCCATGAGAAGCCTGGCACACCCTGGCATGCCAGCAGCACATCCCCCTGGGACCCCGTTAGGAGCCCCCAGCGCTGCTGGGCTGGGGCAGGGTGCTGCTGCCCTCAGCCACCACAGAGCCCTGGAAGTGCCTCCTGTGGCCACAGGCTCAGTGAGCCTGCAGACCCAGACGTCTTATCAGCCTCAGACACCTTCCTGTACCACAGCTGCTGCCTGCAACCATCACCAAATGCCACCCTGCGGGGTATGTGTCCCCTCGCCCTCCCAGCAGCTGGCACACACTTGCACACACTTGCACACACTTGGTTTTTGGTCACCCCTTTGCTGCAGCATCAACCAGGCACCCAGCACTTCTGTCTAGAATGGCTCAGGATGGCCCTTCCCCCCCCCAGCCAGGGATCCCAAAGCACTGTGCTCCAAAGGGCCTTCTCAGACACCCCAGCCCCATGGTAGGAACAGGAGCTGTGGAGTCAGCAGCACTCTGCCCCTGGCCAAGGCTGAGCATTGGCCACCTCCAGCCACTCAGCAACCACATGGTTAAAAAGCCTTTTTGGAAAGGGCTGGGCTGGGCTCTGGTGTTTTTTCTGTCTCCTCATTTACTGGTGGCTTTGTTTTCCAACCACGAGAGCCCTGGCTGTGCCTCCTGTGGCCACAGGCTCAGTGAGCCTGCAGACCCAGACGTCTTATCAGCCTCAGACACCTTCCTGTACCACAGCTGCTGCCTGCAACCATCACCAAATGCCACCCTGCGGGGTATGTGTCCCCTCGCCCTCCCAGCAGCTGGCACACACTTGCACACACTTGCACACACTTGGTTTTTGGTCACCCCTTTGCTGCAGCATCAACCAGGCACCCAGCACTTCTGTCTAGAATGGCTCAGGATGGCCCTTCCCCCCCCCAGCCAGGGATCCCAAAGCACTGTGCTCCAAAGGGCCTTCTCAGACACCCCAGCCCCATGGTAGGAACAGGAGCTGTGGAGTCAGCAGCACTCTGCCCCTGGCCAAGGCTGAGCATTGGCCACCTCCAGCCACTCAGCAACCACATGGTTAAAAAGCCTTTTTGGAAAGGGCTGGGCTGGGCTCTGGTGTTTTTTCTGTCTCCTCATTTACTGGTGGCTTTGTTTTCCAACCACGAAACCCCCGTGAGGCATGGAGCCCCACGGCCTCCTCAAGGGCTGCTCTTGGGGCTGTGTTTGGTTTGGGAGGGGTTTATTATTATTTTGTTTAAAGCAAGCAGCTCGAGGCTGGGAAGCATTATTCATCATTAAGGGCTGGCTGTGTGGTGGAGACAACCCGACACACACATTCTTCTCAGAGTAGAATCAGCCACCAGGCAGGAAATGGCAGCCGGGATTTTTTTTCCCCCTTCTTCTTCAAACACTTCAGCAAGAATTAAACTAACATGGATTTTTCTGGGCAGATTTTTAAGGAGACACAACAAGCCAAAAACCCTGCAGAAGATATTGCCAAGTGAGGAAACAGGGATTTTTTTTCCCAGCCTTCGCCTCTCCCGCGCCTCGTCCCTCATCCCAGGGTGCTGCAGGCAGCTCTGCCTGGGAGGTGGCCGGGTGCCATGGGGCCATCCCATCCTCCTGGCACTGCCAGATTTAGCCTCAAGCAAGCAAGCTTTAACCTTTTCCATGGAGACACAAGGTCCTCTGTAATTGCCTGACCACTTATTTTCATACTTTCACCACGCTGTGTTTTTTCAATGGCCTCCTTCTCCTCCCCCCCCGGGGTTTGCAGCAGGGCTGGATCATTCACTGCAGCAGTAACCAAAGGCAGGCCTGGGCAGGGGAGGAAGGGGGGCTTTCAATACCCTGCTCAGCCCTGGCCTCTAATCCCCAAGCAGCTCTGCTCCCAAAAGCCGTAAGAGACATGCCCTGGGATGACTGCACCCCATTACCGTCACTACCATATCTTCTAAACAAGAAGGTGGCTCTGTGCCCCACTCCCACTATCTCAGCCCCCTTTCCCTGGCCAGCCTGGCCCTCATTCCCCTTTCAGCAGGGTGATGGTGCAGGGGGTCCTTAGCTTCCCAGTGTTCTGGCAAAGCACTGCATGGTTGAAGTGCGGCAGGTCTGGAGGGGCACCGGGCATTACCAGGGTCTTTAACCGAGAAAGGGTCCCTGTTGCCTCCCTTCAGGCCTTACCAGTTGTGGACGGGGCAGATGTGGTTGTTGGAGAGTGCCATGGCGTACCTGGGGGAGAGATGACAACAGGGATTACCACAGCTGCCCATCTCCCTGCATCCCTGCTCCTCGCTGCCACCCAGGGCTGGCCCCAGAGACCAGCCACAGGACAAGCCCTCACTGCCTGCCAGAGGCCAGCGCTCACCCGGGGGCACCTCTCAGCTTTGCAAAGCACGAAACAGAAAAGGAAGTGCATAAGCACAGGCTGTGGAGAGCTCCTGCTGCCAGAACCCCATCCCCCTGCCCAGCTCTCCCATCCCTGTTTTTGGGCTGGTCCTGTAGGACATCACTCCCATGACGCTGCTGTGCTCCTCCGGCCCTGGGGAAGTGCTCTGCCGCAGAGCCCCTCCCCTGGCACCGGGACTACAGCAGGGCAGGGTGGCACCCAAGGCCAGCTGGGCTCTGCCCTGCTCCCCCGGGCCCCTGCTGGAGGCACACGGAGCTAAGAGAACTGGGAAAGCAGCCGGTGTGCTGGCAAGGCACTTGGGGCAGATCAGCTCCATGGAGCGGTTTACTGCAGAGTCACACCTGCACCTAGGTCAGTGTAACAAGGGGTTAATGACATGCATCCCACCCCTCTTCAGGGGGTCTCGGCCCCACGGCCGGCGAGCAGCGCTCCCACCCAGCAGCAGGCGGCCCCGTGCTGTTCAAATCGCTGCCTCAGTGGCCGTAAACAGGTCACGTTAAAAATAGGACCCAACACCGGTAAGAAAACACCTCTCCCGCCCAACATGGTCACGTTAACAGCAGGGCTGCAAGAAGGATGATCCCAGCAGAAAGGTGCCAGAGCAGAGCATGGGACAGCTAGGGAGAACCAAGGGGCAGTGCTGCCCACCACAAAGCTGCCCACCAAGAGCATCACCCCCCCGCAGACCTCTGGCCCAGCCACTTCCCAGAACAGGTCTCCCCCAACCAACCAGTCCCCCTCCCAGCCCTTTCATTTCTGCCAGGGAGGGGAAATAAGCCAAGAGAGGCACAAATGGTACTGCTTTCTCACAATGGGACTTGTTTCCACTCACCTGGCTCCCCCTCATGGCTCTGCATCCCAGGCAGGGCCAGCAGGGCCCCACACGGACCACACACTCCCCCGCATGCAACTGCCCTGCCACTGTGTTGATGAGCAACACACTGTCCCCCGAGCAGCTGCAGGACATGTTTGGGGCCAGAAAAAGGCCCCAGCTGCCCCTCACAGAGCAGCTCCGGCTGTGAGGACCATGAGCAGCACCTCCCACCTGTGCTGCTTTGGGCTGGAGAAGAATCTGCTCCACAGGGTCACCCACAGGAGATGGCTAGAGCTTTGTGGGCTGTTCAGGGGATAAACTTGGGCCATGAGTTCCCTGTGCAAGGGTCAGCCTTCAGCTTCGTTGTGAAGGAGGATGGGATGCTCCATCCCACACCCCAGGAAGTCCAACATTATCAACATTTGGGCTACCTATGCCTTTGGGAAAAATCCCTCATCCAGTGCCCAGCCATCCCTGCTGTAGCAGCACAGTGGGGCTGATGGACTAAGGTGGGACAACCTTACGTGACCAGCCAAGGCCCGGGGAAGTCACTGACAGGGTGGGTTAGTGCTGCTCACCCAGGTGACACAGCCTCTGTTTCCAGCACAAGGGACAAACGTTCCCTGGCGCTCTCATCCATCCCATTGGAGTCCGGATGGGTCCCCATGTGCTGCACTTCTGGCAGCGACCACGCCGGGTGGCTGAGGGGGTAAGGGAGGATGTGGGAGCAACCGAATGTGCAGAATCGCCCCAACACAGCACGGGCCCAGCCATGCCCCGCAGCCCCACAGCCCCCCGCCCCGCAGCATCGCCC